AAAAAGCATCTGGTTGTGTGGCGGGGCCACGAGATGTCTGTCTCGGCCACACCAGAAGGGCGTAAAAAAGACGGGAAAAAAGAAAAAAAAGAAAAAGGGGCCACGTGCCTGACTGAACTGCTAAAAATGGCCAGCCTGAGTTTCAACTGCATTTGAAATTTGAAACTTCGAAAAAAAAAAAAGAAAAAAAAAAAAGAAAAAAAAGAAGAAGAAGGAAGAAACTGGGGCCCTGACTGAACTGCGAAGACACAGTTTGAAATGCAATTACAAACTCAGTCTGCTTTTGTGACTGCGCCGTAGTTACCCCTTTATATTTTTATATGCAGCATTGCGATGCGCAGCGGAGGGTGGGGCCCAACGACCTGCTTACCGAGTTCCTTTACTTGTTACAGTAGATCAGGAAAGTCAAACTTAAGGTGGCCATCTGGCTCGATGCATGACAGCGAGGACTCCGAGTCGCTTCTGCTGGAGTTCCGCTGGAATCACATCCAGATCCCCTTCCTCGCCAACTGGCCTAACTCAGTAACTCAGTTGCTACGCCACTGAACTGCTGAAATACAGACCTGAGTTCGAACTCCACTGGAAGCAGACGTCGAGTAATGTACGTTGCACTTCAATTCTGAACTTTGTAGGGCCGGGGCTAGGTCCCACTTGTGGGGGGGTTCCGGTGTTCCTTTCAAATAGTTTTTGGGGGGTCCGGCCCGGTAGGTGCAGTGCGGAACTGAGATGTTCAGATCGGATGGTAGGAACTGGTTAGTAATAGAAACCAAGTCTGACCCCTCGCTAGTGGGACGTATCGCCCGGTTTGATAGATGATGATGTCTCCTGTTTTTGTGCTTTTCAAACTAGACTGTAGTACTCTTCTCTTAACTTTTTTGGGCTTTCACGACCTACGGACCACTACTCCTAAGGATAGCAAAGGGACCCCTGCAAACATAACTATCTGCCTCTCGTGGTGAAGGGAGGGTACCTCTCTTGGTGGAGGGAGGTATGGCATGTTTACCCCTTGCCCCACCGTCTTCACCCGAATACAACGCCCAGTCATTATCGTATTTGGTGCAACTTCAGTCTGCATATAGTGATAATGACCGGGCGTTCTACTCGGGTAGTGGTTTAGGGTGCAGGCTTAGGGCCGTTGATGGGGGCCCGGCTAACGCAAAGATGTAGGATTTGCCAGTAGCTTCACCTCGGAGTCCCTCTTCGTCTTCCGCCCCCCATCGAGTAACAGCAGTGCCTAAGGCCAACACTCTCCTACACACCATACACAGCCCACTCACACTCGCACTCACACCCGTGTCGGCTGAAGACACTCCCATTTTCCCCTCAACATACCACATGATGTGTGTTGTTTGTATTCAGGTATTCAGAAATTCGGATAGAAGGCATATGCGTTGTATTCGAAAATAAGGGCTGTTCGAATAGCACACGTATGCGTTGTATTGGAATAGAAAGCAACCTAGTTGTACCGAGTTTCCGGCAGCTTCACTCTCGGCCAAAGTGTCCGCGCCCAGGCCCATTTAGACAGCGGCCTGGGAGCGAATTGGTTACAAGGCATGCCCAACCACCCAGGCACAAATGTGCGGTGTTCCCTGCTTTTGCCACGTTGTTGGAAGAGCCTGGAAGGCTCATCTATATTTCAGATTCTCAAGAGCAAGGAGGATTAACCAACTGGCGCGTGGCAACTGTCTGGCACCGACCAAGATATCATTTGCAAAAATTGATGAATTCAGGGCTCACTGGGATTCAGCGGGCCTTATGCCGGTATGCCGAGGAGTAAAATCCTCACATACCGCATTTTTCGTATCCCGCGGCCTCAAATGAATTTGGAGTGGGGGAGGGGGAGGCCAATTCTATGTCCGCATTAAAGGCCGCCCCAATGGGCAGGTACTGGTGGTTTGAGGGTAAAACTGGCGGTCATGTACTGGTGGTTTAAGGGTACAGTTGGAGGTCGTGGGGGTTGAGCCCACAACCTCCCGAATGCCACTTACCTCCCGAATGCCACTTACGTGCCTAACCAATTGAACCGCCAGTACCTCCACGTTTTTAGGCCGTTAATGCGGTGGCTGAATCGGTGCGCCGTGGCAGTCCATATGCATTTGCGTCAGAGGGGGCCCAGAGGGGGCCTAAGACCCCCTGGGCTAGACCGCTGGATCCATGACCATAGTATCCCAAGGCCATCGAACTCAACCACATAAACAGCAGCCTTGCTCAGTTGGGAAGGCATGCAAGTGGCATTCAGGAGGTTTTGGGTTCAACCCCAATTGGCCTCACGTACCTTCCTGGGCAAGCTTGGTGCCTGCCACCTGGAGATAGGCTGTTGGTCCCCCTAAGCGGCATTGAGCAGAGACTGTTGATGTTGGTAGGGGCCGGGGACCGGAGGGGAGGCACAGCTACTGGCCCATAGAAGCAGCTCGGTCCTGATGCTACCGGCTTGGCCGGTATCGCCCACCTGCTGACAGTGTAGCAGGTATCACACCAGCTCCTGCATTGAGAAGAGACCACTGATGTTCATAGAGGGAGGGGACTGGACGGGAGGCACAGCGACTGGCCCTGCTGTTGTTCGTAGGGGGAGGGGACCAGAAGGGACACAAAGCGACTGGCCCATAGAAGAAGGACTGGCCCATAGAAGAAGCTCTATCCTGATGCTACCGGCTGATGCCTGGCCAGTATAGCCCACCTGCTGTAGCAGGTATCACACCTGCATTGAGCAGTGACTGCCGATGTTCAAAGGGGGAACCCAAGGAGGGGACTGCAGGGGAGGCACAGCGACTGGCCCGTAGAAGAAGCTGGGTCCTGATGCTACCGGCCGACCACCACCTGATCGGTATCGCCCACCTGCTGTAGCAGGTATCGGACCTGCTGGTGGGTGGAGCTCCCGCATTGAGCACAGACTGCTGATGTTCACGGGGGAGGGAACAGGAGGGCCGGCACAGCTACTGGCCCATCAAAGGAGCTCGGTCCTGATGCTACCGGCTGACCCCTGGCCGGTATAACCCACCTGCTGGTTGGTACAGCTCCCGCACGTTGCCTCGTTGGAGGCTTGAGCACGGACGTGGCTGCTACGGGGTTCCCTGTACCAATAAAAGAGGCTGAAGCACGCTGGAAGTCGTGAATGTAGTATACAAGCTAGAAGACCGGGCCAGTAGTCTTTTTTTTTTTTTTTTTTTTTTTTTTTGCAAGAAACAGCCCGAGCGATAGAGGCTGCCTTGTGCTCGGGGGACGATAATGGCCGGTGATGACCCGATGAATCGACGGCCGCAGGCTGTCAGTGAAGCGTGCCTCTGCCGTAGTGCAGTGTAGCAGTGCCCTGAAAAAGAAAAAGGAAAAAAAAAGGTCTACCAGTGCGCTGAGGCTGGAAGGGCTCGTAGTAGCCTCCAAAGGCGAACTAATGAAAAAAGAAAAAAGAAAGAAGGGCACTTTACAGTAGTAGTCTCTTTTTTTTTTTTTTGTGTGTGTGTGTGGGGACCGCCACTGGTTTCAGATATCGCGCCTTACAGCAAAGATGACACGCATAAATGGAGAAACGGCCGAAAAAAGGAATGAAGAAAAAGGGAGTGGTAATGCTATTGTTGATTTTTTTATTTATTTATTTTCCCAACGAACAGTAGTTTTATTAGGGCCCATGTGTTGTGCTCGTGCGCTTGTTACATTAATCGACAGCAAGCCCGAATGAAGGGTTTAAACTTGCGTTGTGATGTGTTAGACCTATCATTAACCTCCGGTTCAGTTAACGCAAGCAAGCGAACTGTACAACAATTCCGTCTCTTATGTGTTATTATTATTTTTAGTTATTTTCCCCTCTAATATTATTACTTTTTTTTTCTTTTTTCTTTTTTTTTAGAACTGTTTTCTACCTGTTGTTATTACTATTGCTATTTTATTCATTTGTTATTACTCTTGTTTCTATATTACTATTATTATTATTATTATTCACTCTTTTCTTATTATTAATTCTCGAATTGATACCTATCTCCGACTTCATATTTAATCCAGCTTCTTCGTGCGATCTCGACCGTAGATTCGATGTACTTTTTGAGCGTCGATTTCCTTCCATGACCATTTGTCGTTACGGTAATGTAACCATAACCATAGGTAGCTCTTTAGATCTGCTTTTTTCTCCTTTCTTTCTTTGGGAAATGTGCGCACGCGTTTAGAGCAACGGCTTCGTCCGAGCAGACATTATAAAGACACCGTTTTTATGCTTGGACGGTTTAGCGATTGCCCTCGATATTATCGATTCATCTCAATTCTTCTTCTTCTTCTTCTCCTTCTTTTATCTTCTTCTTCTTCTTCTTCTTTTATCTTCTTTTATCTTTTATTACTGTCATCCTTTCTCTTGTTGTTGTTGTTGTTGTTGGTGTTGGTGTTGGTGTTGGTGTTCTTACGCTTGTCATTCGGCTTTGTTTTTTTTTTTTCTCGTCTTCTGTTTGACTGAGAGAAGGGTCCTCCTTTCTACTTCTTCCTCTTCTGCTTGCATTCTTCTTCTTGCTTTCTTCTTCTTCTTCTTCTTCTTGATGTCGGTTTGGCGTTGGCTGTGAGGAGGCCCCGCGCTTTCTTCTGTTTTCTACTTCGTCTTCTTTGTTGTTCTCTCGTTGGCTGCGAGGAGGGCGTTCTTCCTTCTGTCTTCTTCCTTCTTCCTTCTTCCTTCTGTCTTCTGTCTTCCGGTTGTTATTCGTTTTCGTAGATTTTCCGCACTTGTGTCCTGTTCTTTTTGGCTTCGAGGAGGGAGGCACTCGCAGCGTCCCTCTTGTATCGCGAATGGCCGCACCTGCACCAATAGGAGGACGCCATTGGGAAGAAGTGGGAGGAGGCGGCGTAAGGGGAGGAGATGGAGTAGGAGTAGGTGGTCATAATAGTAGGAGGAGGGACGTCATCCTCGGCACTGCGAGGCTAAGTCTCAATTCCACATCATCAAGCTCTGGCTATGGCGATGAGGTTTTTGTTGTCGGCACCAACTCTCGTCCTTCTCCTCCTCCCACTCCCTCTCTCACTCCCACTCCTACTCCCACTCCCACTCCCACTCCCATTTCCACTCCCACTCCCATTTCCACTCCCACTCGGCCCGTAACAGCTGCTCGACCTTTCTTCTCCGAGCTCACCGTCCTGATGACTCGTCGTGCGAGCATCTTCGTCTTCCTTCTCCTTCTCGCTCCGTGCCTCAGCGATGGCGGAAGCCGATGGCATGCCAGCTCCTCTTCGCTGCTGCGGCTGCGCTCCCACCCCATCCAACGCTCAGACGCCAGCGACCCGACGAACGCATCTTCACCGTCCATTCGTTCCGATGCTGATCATGATGATGCCGAGGAAGGACATCCGTTTCATGCCCGAAATGAACAGCTCATGCTTCGTCGGGATCGCGATCTGCAAGAAAGGATCGTCGGTGGAGCCGCCGTCGGCATATCCCTACGTCCGTTCCAGGCGTACGTTCGCGTTGACTTCGCCGGCGGGAGGTTTCAGCAGTGCGGAGGGACTCTCATTGGTACGCAGTACGTCGTGACGGGAGGTAGTTTGAAGTGTGATTTGAGTGGGGGGAAGAGGGGGGGAAGGGGGAAAGGGGGGGGAAGGGGGAAAGGGGGAGGAAGGGGGAAAGGGGGAGGGATGGGGGAATGCATTACGTCGTCTTGTTTATTTATTCATCTTTCATTATTTTATGTATTATATTTGTCATTTATTTCTTGTTATGACTAGTATTATTATTATTTTTATTTTTTTGGACCTTCTTTTTTTTCACCAAAGAAAAGCTTGAGATTTTTTATTGCGGGCGCAGTACCCAGGACAGTACGTAGAAGCAAAATATAGTCCCTTTTTTTTTTGAAAAATAAAATAAAAAAGATTCAGGGCCTGCAACGCCTCGAGCCTTCAACCGTCAGGCTGAGCTCAAATTGTGTAAGTCGTCTTTCAATGCGCACAGGGGAAATGCTAAATCATTCATTCATTAAATCATTAAATCATTAAATCATTAAATCTACTAATTCATTAATTAATTCATGAATTCATTAATTCATGAAAATTCATTAATTAATTGATTAAGCTTTTATGAATCGCTCCAAAATTCTTCTGACAGAGGTTCCGATGGACCTTCGATGGATTATATGCCTTGTCATTTAATGACTTGATTAATTAATTGGTTATATGCCTTGTCATTCATTAATTAATTAATTGATTATATGCCTTGTCATTTAATGTTCAAGAGAGAACGCTAGTTAATTACTGTAATTAAGGACACGGCCTATATCGTTTTTTTTTTTTTTCTCACATGTATGGCTTTTCCGATGACTGCAGACATGAACTGTATGTTTTTAATTGCGTAATAATATTACTGATAATAATAATGGTAATAATACTGATAATAATAATGATAATAATAATCATAATAATACTGATAATAATCATGATAATAACCATGATAATAATAATAATAATAAGAAGAAGAAGAAGGGATAATTCGCAACCCCCCCCCATAAGTTGAGATATATGCCGAAATGCCCCTGAAAGATGTGGGTAGAGCGGAATTATACCCTTTCAATTGCGCCGAAATCTGTGTTGTGCAAACACGTCCAGATTCAGGCGTTAAATCCGATCCTCTCGTTGCGAGTGGGACCTCGCCCCAGAGAGTTCATGCATGCGTGCATGCTGTGTCTTTTCTTTTGTTTGTTTGTTTGCATTTTTTTTTTTTTAATGTAAACCTTTTGATTTATTTATTTTTGGTTAAATTGCCATGTTCGTTCGATGATGTAACGAACATCTCTCGACAAATGCAACAGTCTTTTTTTGTTTCAAATTGATTTAATTTTTGAAAAACGGATAGCCTTTTCCATTCCCATTGCCATTCCCATTCCCATTCCCATTCCCATTCCCATTTCCGCTCTTCTCTCACTGCCATGCGAATGGGAATAGCCCGTTCTCATTATTCCCATTCCCATTCCCATTCCCATTCCCATACCCATTATTCGCATTCTTCCCATTCCTCTTCCACTATTGCGGCCCATTCCCATTCCGATTCCCACTCCCATTCCCATTCCTATTCCCATTCCCATTCCCATTCCCATTCGCGTCCCCTTTCTCGTCCCTCTATTCTCTCACTGTTCATGCCAATGGCAGTGCCATTCAGTTCCCACTCCCATTCCCATTCCAAATCCCCATCCCCATCCCCATCCCCGTCCCCATCCCCATCTCCATCGCCATCCCCATTCCCATTCCCATTCCCATTCCCATTCCTATTCCCATTCCCATTCCCACCGTTCCCGTTCTCATTATTCCCATCTCTATTCCCATTCCCATTCCCACCGTTCCCGTTCTCATTATTCCCATTCCCATTCCCACCGTTCCCGTTCTCATTATTCCCATTCCCATTCCCATTCCCACTGCCACTCCCCCCGGCTCTTCTTTCTGTGTCCATCCTCAGTCAATTCTCTTCGCCCCTTGCCACACTCTGCCGCCGCTCGGCCCCCAGCACTCACCCTCTACAGCCCCT